AGACTGACATTCACATATAAACACACACGTCAGAGGGGAAGCAGAAGGCCAACTGAAAATGGAGATTCCGCGGCGGCTGGCTTTTCTCACTTGCATGTTCTTCCTTCTCTCCGTGGCCCGAAGCGAAGACCATTTCTACGACTTCTTCGTAAGTTTTAATTATTTATTTACTTCCATAATACAAACCCACGTCAAGAGAAGCTCCAAATGACTGGAATGGAGGAATTTTCTCCCTTTCCCCCTCTCTCTGTACACTGGCTTATGGAGAGAAAATTACAAAAGCACCTCTAATGAGGTCTAAATTATTGACTGTTCACGTTATGTGTGTGTGTATATACCGATTCAGTTCACCCGTGGTAAAAATTAAATGTATAAAAAATTTAAGGCAAATGCCATACGTAGGAATTTCGTTGGATATGTTTCTGACATTTGGGTGGGAATGCAGCTAGTGGAGAAGACCTATTGGAGGATGTGCAACAACACGAGCATTCTGACGGTGAATGGTAGTTTCCCTGGGCCGACCCTCCGCGTTCGCAAAGGGGATACTGCTTTTGTTAATGTTCATAATCACGGGACCTATGGCGTCACCATTCACTGGTTCCTCTCTCCCGCTCTCGCTCGCTCGCTCTCTCTCACTCACTGTTTCCCTCTCTATAATAATGCTTTGTGCTGCCTGCACGACCAGGAAATTGTTAGTTCAAGCGGGGCGATTAACAATGGACACAAGTTCAGGGGCATTAATGTCCTCTTATTTGTCTAAAATCGTTGGCTTGGAACGTGTTCAAAGTGAAGACTCGGGGTGTTTACTTTACCAAAAAATATTTTTTAATACTTTTAAATTTTTGATTTAATTCATTAAAAAATCAGTTTTTTGAATTTAATTTTATTAAATTTTTAAATTTTTTTTGAGATCGTTTCATTTTTTTTAACCTTTAAAATAAAATACACCATTAAAAGAATAATATAATCAAATTATATATAATTATCTTGAAAAAATAATTAAATAACTTTTTAAAATAAGTCAAATATCACCTATCCTCATTCTTCTTCCTATGTATATGTGGGGCCAAACCCTCGTCTCCTCAGATTTTAATTTTGCAGGCATGGCGTGAAACAACCGAGGAATCCATGGTCGGATGGACCCGACTTCATCACACAATGCCAAATTTCACCCGGAACGAACCACACATACAAAGTCATCTTCTCCACCGAGGAAGGGACACTGTGGTGGCACGCCCACAGTGATTGGACTCAAAGCACAGTCCATGGCGCCATTCATATCTTACCTGCCGAGGGCACCACCTACCCTTTCCCTGAACCCGATGGAGAACATGACATTATACTCGGTAAGTGCTGGTTTCTTCCTCAATTTGAACTGGGTGGCAGATGATGCATGTGTTTACACGCATAAAAAGATCATGGTAGCTCACATTCTTCGTGCATCATAAGGATTTTTTATCTGTTTTATTCGAGTTACAGAATTATGGTTTTCATCCCTGCAATACCCATCATCTTCTACACGTATGGGGTGTCATTCTTGCTTTCACCTGCAAATGCCTGACAACATCTTTGACGAAATGTTGAACAGAACAAGTGCTCTTGACATTACTGTGGGAAAACCTAAACATTGAGCCGGAAAAGGAAAATTTTCTGGTTTACCTGGAGAGCTTTGCCGACAAGCTTCTTGAGTTAAATTAGGGAAAATTAATTTCATCACTTATGAGACGATCTCCAAGTGGAAGCTGTGGGAAAAGGAGAACATGTTCAGAAAGGATATGATAAAAGCTGGATAGTTGTTCGAACTTATCTGTTTTTTGCCCTTTTTTTTTCTTTGCAAATTTGAAACTTTGGTGAATGAAAACGAAACTGGCCCAGATGTGCAATGAGATGGAATATGTAATTTAGTGAACTTTGTGGCATCTTTTGTCCTGATCCACAGTCTGTTAAATCAGATAAGATTGCGTAATTATTCTTATAGTTCTTTTCCCTGCAGTTGGTTTTACCTGCATAGATCTTTATCTTAGCTACTCTTCTTACTTCTGCAGGGTCTTGGTACAATTATGATGTCAATGAAGAGCTTCATTACGATCTCTATGTAGGAGCAGACTTACCTACCCCAAATGCTTATCTTATCAATGGCCAACCAGGCGCTTTCTTTAGCTGTTCTGCTGGTAAGTTACCATTATACGTGGTTGGTCTCTGACTAGAATAAATCCTGAAAGAAGAAATTGTAATTGTTTAACCATGATTTACCACCAGCCAACATTTTACAAGATAAAAATATGCAATTGCTAAAATTTCAAATTGCAATAATTTCTTCTTCTCACCATGACCTACAGGCATTTGTATTTGATCCAGTAGACTTCTCTATTCTTCTTGCAGCCCCATAAAAGAAGCTTCAAAGACATTGTTATATAAGATATAATCATTTATTTGACCTATGACTTTGTAATATACATGACACTTACTATTTTTGCTAGGATGGAAAAGAAGTTAGGATTCATGAATGCAACATGAGACAGGAAGATTTGGTGTAGCCTTAATCTTGTTTGTATCACAATCTTCAAGTGGCTTATGTTCAACTGGCAACCCAATAATGAACAGTTAAAGGGAGTCGACATGCAGACTCACAAAGGCCTACCTCGCCAAAAATAAAGTTAAAAATTTTGATACTTTTTAAATGCGGTACCTATGATTGGTGCGAATTTTCTTAACGACAACAATTTGTGGACTTTAGAGTGTAATTTTAGATTAAGGCATTGTAAAATTTTTGAATGATTCGTGCCTTGAGCCCTAACAGATATGAGTATGCTTATCGTTGATAATTCTGTGAAACAGAAGAAATGCATCGGATAATTGTTGATTATGGGAAAACCTATCTTCTCCGCATAATCAACGCAGCCCTTAACTCAGAATTTTTCTTTGCCATTGCTGGACACAATCTTACGGTGGTTGGAATGGATGGGAGCTATCTCAAGCCCTTTATTACAGAATATGTGGTGATATCCCGGGACAAACCATGAATGTCCTACTTGCAACAAATCAGAATCCGAGTCACTACTACATTGTGGGTAGACAATTTGTTTCGGCAGGTAATATTCAACTTAAGGAACCTACCACAGCAGTCTTAGAATACATTGGCAAATACACACCCCCATCTTCACCTGTCTTCCCATCCAGCCTCCCTGTATTTAGAGACATCAGGGCAGCAAATGCATTTTGGGCCCGTTTAAGGAGCTTAGCCAGCAAAGAACACCCTGTATCTGTGCCAAAACACATTGAGCACCTATGTTCATAGTTGTTTCTGAGAAGATTATCGCTTGCCCAAATCGCTCATGTGAAACGCATAATGGAAATACGCTTAGTTCATCAATGAACAATATAACCTTTCAGAATCCCATTGCAAATATACTACTTGCCTATTACAGGTACATCTTTCATAGCTTTCTATTGTTTATTATTAATTTATATTTATTCATATTTTTGTTACTTTCCTTGCTTTGTTCTTTCAGAAATCTCAATGTTGGCATGTTTTAAACTGTCAAACAAGCAAGCATGAGATTTTTACAGGAAATGATCTTGAAACAATTGAAGTTATAGTGCATATCAAGTTAAAAATATATTACTTTTCCAATACCTAAAGATTATTAATGAAAGCTTGACCCATGTTATAGGACAAGGAGAAGGGGGAATTAGGTTGGACTAAAGAGGGATGGGCATAATGAGAGCCTGTATGTGTATGATAGAAGGAAGAAGGATAGTAAAAAGGGTAATGACAGAATTGCAACTAATGAAGGGAATAAGTTAGTGGAGGAGTCGGTTAGAGGAGAGAAAGAGAAGCATCACAAAACAGACAGGAGGCAGCATATGAATGGGAAGGCTCCTGGCATGATGGGAAAGAGAGAGTTGTTTGTACATAGGGAGGGTGTAAGAGGTAGTGGAGAGACATAACAAAAAATTGGGCAACATTTGGTGGCCAATGGCCTGGGTTGAGCAGTCCCTGGGTATCTATCTTTTCTTGTTTTTTTATCTATTTTGCTTCTATTTTTGTGTTTTCCAGAGGATTTCCTTTGTTTCAAGGAACTGAGCTTCCTTGTGTGGATAAATAATACATAGTGAGTACCAGTTTTTATCAATTATAAAATGGAAATTGCCCATCAAGCAATTAATGCAGTTTTAATACCTTCATGCAGGAACATAAGTGGGGTTTACACTCCTGATTTTCCAGACTTCCCAGAGGTTTATTATGACTTCACAGATCCTAATTTGTCTTACAATTATACTGTACCATCCATAGCAACCAAGGTGAAGATGATTAACTACAATGAAACAGTGGAGATAGTATTTCAAGGGACTAATACTGTTGGAGGGGCACAGGATCATCCTGTACATATGCACGGATATAGTTTTTATGTGGTTGGATTTGGACTTGGGGATTTCAACAATGAGACTGATCCAAAATCCTATAATTTGGTTGATCCACCTGAATTGAACACAATTCGGGTTCCTAAGAATGGATGGGTTACAGTGCGGTTCACAGCAAATAACCCAGGTACGTTCTCAATTGATGGTGCGTTATCTGATAGACCTAGGCATCCTGGATCCAATTCGTCTTGATAAAAATTTATTTGTTTTCCTATGTTTCTGTGAAGTCAGTCTTCCATTATGCACCAATATTGTGTTATATGTTGATATGTGAGTAAGATGTTTCGAATCTAATGCGGAATTAGACTTCCTTGAAATGATTTGTCTTCATTTTTTCAATTCTTTTGTTAACTGCCACATTGCAATTGTAAATTGTAATATAGCAAAATGTTTAGTGAATACTCGTTTCTATCAAGAGACTATCATTTGCAAAAATAATTCTGAAAATTCCCCAGCTAAAACCAAACCAAGAAAAGGGGATGGAAAGGTGAAAGAAAGGAAACTTTCTGTGTGGTTATTTAATAGATAATCTAGCAAGGCCAAAATCCAAGCCCCTCCTGATCTGACTAAATTTATATGAACATTTGAAGTATTTGATGGAGCAGATCTGTTGGGTAAACTAAACTACAAAAATATTGGATGGCATAGATTAAACTATAGTAACTTTTGAATTGGACTTATATTTATTTATTGTACTTTTGTGGTGAACAGGGGTCTGGATGTTGCACTGTCATTTGCTTAAGCATCTTACCTGGGGCATGAAAACTGTTCTCATAGTGTTGAATGGTGACACTCCTGAGACAAGTATCCTTGATCCCCCTCCCTCGATGCCTTCTTGCAACTTTTCATTCGTCAATTACATCCAGAAGTTCAAACATTCAGATGTCGTGCATCCTGTTCAGATAATTGGAATGTGAACAAATTTCTTCTGTTTGATTTACCCTAGCCCACAGATCTATGCGTGTATTGGTTGCTTTATTGACAGCCCGAGGATTGTAGTTGAGTAAATAAGAACAAATGTGAAAACCTGTGATTCAGTCTTCGTGTATGTTTGAATGAAAAACTGCCCTGAGATAATTCTGGTGTATGAGACATAATGATTTTGTTAGGTGAGAGGAAATGCAAATTAAATATTTGGTTTATGCTTTTAAGTAACTTCAAGTTTTAGGCATTTTCTTTTCTGTAAGATAGAAAAATGCATTTTTTAGATGTACAAAACAAGCATTTTCTTTGAAATAGTTTTCCCAAAAAATTAATAAAATCTATTTTCTCAAAAACTTATTTTTCAAAAATTTTTACTGTATTCATTTTTTTTAACGTCAAACCAAGAAAATTTGGAATTTTTTTTCATTTGTGACGAAAAGGAAATCTCAAGCAGCTACCTCAGCTGCTAGTCCGCACATGCATTCCCTGTACTTTGGCTGTATGTTTGAGTGATGTATTCTCTTAATCTATATTGTTGGAAGCACTGATTTGAAGACAAAAGAAACTTACACAGAAGTCACGACAGGGAAAAGATTTGATGGGGGTTGGCTGTTCAGATGATAACTTGCATGCTTGCCCTACTTTGCTGTTCTGATTTGATGGATTTGATTTTACGACTTCGTCGTGAGTATTTTATTTTCATTCTTATATTTACACACACCCAATGCAAGCAGACTGGAATTATGCATTTGATCTTTAACTTCCCAAATTAGAGATAAGATTATGAGTTCATCGTATTGAATGTTAGTTGTTCGATTTTTTTGTCTACACAGGAGAAATTATTGAGTAGAAAACTTGCCTCGTGATTTCTTTGCCTGACTGATGACATGATGCATCTGGTAAAGAAGAATTTTTGGATAATGTGCAATACAACTAGTGTTCCAACGGTCAACGGTAGTTCCCAGTTCCTACTATTAGAATTCGCATGGGGGAATACTGCTTTTGTTAACGTTCACAACCAGGGAGATTACGGCGTTATTATTCACTTTTGGGGAGGGGGGGGGGGGGGGGGGGGGTGTGTTTGTTTATATGTACATATCCCTAGCGAGGCCTCTTTTGATTATCCGCTTCAACCTGACCCGTTACGAGTGGGCAAGTTGACGCTTGAGATAAGTTGGAAGGCTTGCTGGAGGAGAGGGCAGGGGTTTATATTTAAATCCCTCCAAATTTATTTTAAGATATTTTTGTACAAAATATAAAATTGGTGGTGAATGAAAAATAAATAAATTAAATGTATATTTATTCACTTTCTCTAGATTTATTTTATTTAAATGCATTTTTCAAATCCAGTTTCTGTAGTGGGGCTTATAATGTTATTATTAAAGAATGCCAATTTATAGATCTTATATGCACTTTCACAATGGTGTGATTCTTTTTTTTTTTTTTTTCTTTTTTTAATAAACAAGTACATGTGATGTTTATTAAAAATATAGTCAATATGAGCAATTTAATAATGAGAGAGAGAGAGAGAGAGTTTAATATTATAATATTATAATTATTATATTTTGTGAATGTAGATTATTATGGCAAACCACATAAATTTTTATGACTTTTTCTTTCTCTCTCCTTTATCTTTAATTTCAATTTTTAGCTCTTAACATAATATGTGAGCCAAGTTTATTCAATGTAATAGTTTACAAAACTGGTGTTATATTTCTTGGTAGGATAGAGAAATATTTATTTATTCTCAATTGAATTTCAAGTATCAACAACTAGTCTGAGAAGTAGACAGTAACAAGAAAGAGAAATAACAACAATTAGTTTCTAACGATAATATGGTAGAGAGTCAATTAAGTGAATAGATTGATATGATAACGGTATCAAGAATATCAATGTCATGTAGTGGTAGGTGACTAATTGGAAGTGTTGAGATGGGTGAGAAAAGGGGAAGAGTTGGAGCCATAAGGGAATGTATAATCTCCAATTTCTCGATAGATTTCTTTAAATTGATTTCTAAAGATATCAATTTAAGAAATTGTGTTAAAAATTATTTAAGATATATTATTCATTCTCTTAGAGATAAAATTGGGTATGAAAATTAGAAATGAAGATAATTACAAATAATATAATCCTCTAAATACTTATAAATATATTTAGAACATATGTATTTCGTTGAGAGAGAGAGAGAGAGAGAGAGAGTAATGCATGTGTTTATGAATTAGTTTTAGTAGCAGAGATTATAATTCTCCAAGATTGTATTTTTCTGAGTGTGTAAGAGAACTGACTTATTAAATAAGATAAAAAAGCTACTTTCCCTTTTACCAACTATTCCCAAAACCAGTTGTAGAAAATAGGTGGGCAAGCAGTTTGTGAACATGAAAGCTTGTATCATCCTCTGATGATCTGCATGCAGCTCTTGGAAGTGTCTTGGTTCTTCCCCCACTGGATTCTCCTCTCTTTTTGTCAGCGAGCCATTCGATGCTCTGGTTTGCGCGCGTCTTTTGGTGGTTAGTTCAAGGGGATCTCGGGTAAGCTGGGCTTTCTGTGCTTGGGTTGGCCTTGCTTTTAGTTTTGTTGAGTTGGTTCTCTCGATTCACGGGCTGTCTTAAGGCTTCTTGCTTGGGCTATGCTCTTTTTAATGAAGATCCCCTTTGCTTTAAAAATAAATAAATAAAAAAGTGGAAATATAGTTAGGTCTAGCACAATTTTACCTCTATTTCTTCCCTCACAATTTTAATTTATCACATTAGCTTTAAAAAAAAGAAAACTAAGATATTAATTTCTAATCGTTCACATTTTGTAGGATTAAAGAAAGTAAGATAGAGATCTAGTTCATAAAACTCTCTCTTCTTGGTAAATATTAATTATATCATATCAGAACCTGAACTATATATTTTCTTATTCGACAATCTCAATTCTGTGATAAGGATTAAGTTGTATTTTATATCTACTTTTATATACACGCGCACACACACTATCAAAGAAATTACTGACTAATAATATATTTGTTGGCTTTTAAATATTAAGACCGCATTTGATAACATTTATGTTTTTCTGTTTATGTTTACAAATAAATAAATAAAATAAAAAATTATCTTTGTTTTTTATTTTTTTTGATTTTCAGACTATGTTTTTGAGGTTTTATAGAGGAAGATGTAAGAAAAATCTACATAATCAACAAGCTTTTTTAACATTGTCTTTAAAGGAGCGTCAAATGTTCGTAAATGTACGTGAAATCCATCTTTATGAGAGTTGAAAGTGCTATTAGTATCAAACATTCCTAAACAACGAAATTACTGACACACGCACCTATAATCTTCTTTTACCTTTCTTTTAAATTTTATATTATTTTAGCTTGAAAAGAAGCGCTCTACTTACACTCGAAAATGCGAATTACGTGTGAAAGAAATACAGTTGAAGTTCCCGCTAAACTATATGTGCAGAGCTCCAAACAAAAGAAGCCCTGTAGCTTGCCTCCTCCTCTCTTCTTCTCCTTCTTCTTGTTAGAAAAGACACAGAAATTCTGAATGGGTTTCACGAGGATGAATTGATACTCGAAGTTTCTTCTTCTGTTTTTCGAGCTAGAAGCTGCATGTTCTTGTGCAATGTAGGTACAATTAAATTTACCTTTGCTAAAATATATATCCCATTTTTCTTTATTGATTTTTAAGTATCAAATTACTAAAAAATTTAGATTTAATTATTTCAGACTAATAATTCTCCAACCATTGCAGCTATTTCTGGTTAGTTCCCAGATCTGACTTTGGATTGTTAATTTCTATTTTATGTATTATATTTATCTTGAGCATGTCTATGTAATTTTTGAATGTGATATTAAACTCACTCCTACTTCCTCATCAACTCGTGGTTAATTTAAGTGGGCATGCTTGATTTGAAAAATTAGATAAATATTCAGTGGATATTTAATTAGTCCTATATATGGGATAGCAAAAAACGAATGGGATGGCATTAGGTTAGAAGTGTGTGTTTCTACTTTCTAAACAAACTTCCTCTATCCAATTATACAACCAAACATGACATAGCAAAAATTATCTCCAATCAAATGCTCGAAAATTATAGTCCCATCCCACACACTCCAATGTGATATGTCCATAATTTTTTTAACTCAATAATTTTATTTGAAAATGTTAATTTCATGGCACATCTTTAAAGAGTGTGTAACAATATAATTATAAATTAAAAATTGCTCTATGTTGTGCAAATCAAATATTCTTAATTCGAAACTTAAATCAATTCATTGTATATTTAAGAGATTCATTTAATGGTCAGGGATTTAATTTGTAATACCTCTATCTCTCCTATCTTCAACTTAAGTATCTAATATGTAAATTAAAAAAAAAAATTCCCTCAGCACAAAAAAAAAAGAATATAACTGTATTTTTAGAAATTAAATAAGAGAAGGACTTCAATTTATTAAGTGATTTTTTGGCACATATATTTCAGTAGTGAAATAACATTCGTTTTTTTTTTTTTTTGGTTGAGGGCTTTGTGAAAAGAATTTTTTAGGTATTTAAAGGAAAGATTTATAAATAAAAAAATGTTTTAGTAAATAATTACTGCTTTTATGAAGGTCCATGTTTTTAAAAATAGAAAAAGATTGGAAGTTACTACAAGTAGTTTCTTCAAAAGAACTTCAGAAAATAGGTGTTTCACCAAAGTTCTTCTAGCTAGGAGTGTGTAAAATCAAACTAATTAATCAAATCAAATCAAAGTTTAAAATTTGGTTTAGTTTAGTTTAATTTAAAAAATAATCTAAAATTATGATTTGGTTTGGTCTAAAATCAAATTAAACTATTTTAAACTAAAAATCAAAATTTTGAAAATACTTCTTTTGTATAAAAAATATTAATATATACACACATAAATGTACACATATTTATATAAATATATATTTATATGTATCTATATATACATATATATATACTTATATGCACATACACATACATATATATATGTATATATATATTTTATA